AACCTGCCCTCCCCCATCCATTTTGATGCGAAATTGATTGAGAGACTAAAAAGATCAAAGAAAGAGGATTTGATTTTCAATGGGTTCAGGAGAAAAAAAATGAAAGAGCAGGAGGTGAAGATGACCAGTACTTGGATTAGGGCTGTTTATCTTTTGGTAGTGTTTATGTTAGTGCAAGATGACAATGGCGAGAATGTCATCCCCCCCCTCCTCTTCTCTCTCTTTGAGTGATAAAACATTCGCCCTCTCCTATAAGGAACTAGGAGTACAGTGCGGCAACTTTGTCAGCCGTGGTTTGTCATTTGATTCCATTGATAAGGTATAATTTTTCTCCATTGATTTCTAATACTGTTAAACTTATTCCTTTAATGTTGGCATGTTCCGTTATATGTAAAGTTCAGTTTTTTTTCACTTTGGACTAAGTTAGCAGAGATTACTAAATTGTAAGGAAATTAGTTTGATATGTTTAGACTTTAGATTTCCTTAATTATGTTTAGATTACATTTCAGTGTATTATTATATGTGCACACCATCCGAAATGACAATATGATATTTACTACCTATACCCGATATTTTCCCGATTTCGGATATGGATTTTTGCCATCCGCATGTCCCCGACGTCCAATATTGAAAACCTTGCCCACAACAATTTATAGTGAGTTATATAATTATTAATTGCTAATAAACTATAATTCTTCTAGAACTGTGCTATTTTGCATTCTATGCATTTTGCATAAGGTGATGACTCTTTTTATGATTTTTCTAGCTTCTCACAACTGTTACTATCGATGAGCTTGCTACTCCTGGGTTGAAGTCCATCATCAGCTTTGTTGTTCCTGATCAGAAATCTGGAAAGGTAAAAGTTATTTGTTATTTTGGCTGTTACATTTTAATTTATATCCTCTCCTGAATTGCGACACTTATAATCTTAATTCTTTTGTTCTGAACGTATCCAGGTTGAGCTGCAGTATTTGCATGACTACGCAGGGGTTAATGCAAGCATTGGATTGACTGCTAACCCCATAGTCAACCTTTCTGGTGTGTTCGGAACAGGTGCTGTCTCTGTTGGTGCTGATGTTTCTCTTGATACTGCAACTGGAAACTTTACCAAGTACAATGCTGGGTTGAGCTTTACCAATGCTGACCTCATTGCTGCCTTGACTCTGTGAGTAACTTTCAACTATATTTGTTTTCTGTTTTGGAGATATTGGTAGCGGGTGTTTGCAAATGGAAAGTGGAAAGCGAAGAGAAAATACTTCCTCGCTAATTTCTATTTGGATATCTTGTTTGGATGATAAAAGTAAAAAGGGGTTGGTCAGATCCGTCAGTTTGTTGTTATGGAAAGTGGATAGCGTATTAGTTAAAAGATATCACTTTCTCTTACCTGTTAATTCACTGGATTTGGATCCTCTCCGCTACAAAAAAGTAGTTGAGAGACCACTGAAATATCACAATCATTGATTTGTTTAGTGGGTGGTTATGGTTCATTCGTATAAAAAATAGCAGACAGACCATTGCAATATCACAATCGTTGATTTGTTTAGTGGGTGGTTGTGATTCATTCATATAAAAAAATAGCGGACAGACTGCTGCAATATCACAATCGTTGATTTGTTTAGTGGGTGGTTGTGATTCATTCGTATCTAACACTTACCATGCCCCATGAATTGTGCCATTTTCCCAAGTTACATTTAACTAGTCTTTTGGCTGTAATGATTCAGTTGAAAGTACATCTTCTTTACTTGTGAAGAACATGTTTGTGACTTCATGCATTTTGAGCACATTGGGCACATTGAGCACGTAAGCACCCTTGTTCAGCTTGTGCTGTTTACAAAGTTTTTTTATTTCCAATACTTATTAAATAACTTGAAAGGTAATAATAAAGTTAATAGTTATTTTGAAGTAAATAGTGCATGCTTCCATAGAGAATACTATTCTACATAAAGGACAGTAGGAATTGCCGGAACACACAACAATATATAATTACATAATATAATAAAAATATAATGGTAAAGGTTAGTCTTATAGATAGTTTATGTTACAACCAACATCGTAAATTAGGATATCATATCCTCATCTAAATAGTTCTACATAATAACATATTTCTTAGGGCCCTGGGTCTTGGCAGAGGTAAAAATTCAAATAACCTGAGAAATTAAACCAACTGATGAGATCTATAATCACATTAGACTACAGTTTGGACAGTTATAAAAAATGACAAAGGTAACCAAACCATGGATCACATATCCATTACAAAAAAGAATAAATTAGTATATCCCTAATTAGTAAAATAAGTAAAGAAATTCTAAATCATGACCTTTGTTAATCAAACTTCAACAAATATCAGACTGAACCACAATGTAGCAGTCTAAGACTGCAACATGAGAGCCAAAAGAGTTTCTCGAGCATGTAAATATTATCATAGAGCCAAATTAATGACATTCCAGTTAAGAAAATCAAGTTGCAAACAATTTTCTCAAGCATAACAATATTTGAAGAGAACCAAATCAACAACACATTCCAATGACGAAGCACATTCTGCAAACTATAACATACAAATTTTAACAAACAAATATAAGTACACTCAACAGTAGAACTAACATTATCTCTAGGTAAACCTGATGAAATCTGTCTTGAGAAAGAACTCTTTCCATATTATTTAGACCTCATACTGCTTCATGAGGTGACTCTAGTTCAAATCAATAGTCCCGACCATTAGCCTTTTTTGTGTAAAAAGAAAATATGAGCCTCCTCCCTTCCCTCACATTGTCGAAACTACAGATCTTTAAGCCAGAGCTCCTGATAACAAATAATTTCATGGATAACAAACATGTTTGGTTAAAAACATTAGCACTGTTATAAATAGCGGTAAATAGCCCCGCAATAGCGACGCTAATAGCGTTAGCGGTCCCTTCCCGCGACGCTATCGCCCGCTACGTTATCGCGTAATAGCGGCGATATATTACAGAATATGTCTGTTCGTAAAAGCGGTCAATAGTGTCATAATGGTAAATAGTGAGCGATTGCATTAGAAATTTGCTTTTTGACTGCTATTTAAAAGCAGTTTGAGGTTTATTTTTTTAAAATTAAACTCAACCTTTGACCATTGCATTCCACCGTCTCTTGTGATTTTTAGCATACTCTCGTCACCTCTCATAGCCTCTGGCACCTACTTTGATACTTCCTCTCACCTCCTTCACCGTGAGCTCCTCTTAGGACAGTCATGTCACCGCTAAGCTCTTCTTCTCGAAGACGACGATTTTTTGACTCCTCCAGTCATCTTCGGTATTACGTGATGATTACATGTCTATTTCATGTTTAGAATCTCTTTAAATCATCCAATATGTACTTTTAGATTTCTTAGATTTGTTTAGAATCTCTTTAAATCATCCAATATGTACTTTTAGATTTCTTAGATTTTTCTTTAAATTTTTTTTTTAGTATTTATACATATCTAAATTAGACCGCTATTTGACTTTGCGCTTTTTACAGCTATTTTGCCGCAATAGCCCGAAATAGCCTTAGCGATGCCTCACCGCTACGCGACGCTATCCGCTATCGATAACCTTGAACATTAGCACATAATAACAACAAAGGTGCCAGCAGCAAATAATATAAATGTGGACTTAATATGAATTCTATAGTGCATCTCCAAATTAGCCCAACAAAGTTTTTCTCAATTATATAACATTTTTCACATATCCAACACTTACCATACCCCCCCCCCCCCCCCCCCCCACAACACCA